TGTGATTCCCTTGTGCCCCTCACTTCTACATCCTGGGTTTTCTTCTTCTGTGAAGCCCCAGGTCTTCTGTGGCCTGGCCAGGCCTAGGCTTCATGATAGAAGTGTAAGTGGGGTAGGGGAGAAGGTACCTCTAGCTGTGCCTGCAGGAGCTACTCTTAATGGCTACGTAGAGCTCCCCCCACCCACCACATAGCCCTGGAGGACTCTGAGGTCTACCTGGATGTAAAAACTGAATCAGAAAGCTCAGAATGGATCTTGGGACTTTGCAAGCGATAGAAATGAAGGCTGGCTTGATCTGAGACCGACTGTTCTGAGTGTCTGCACTATCCTTGGGTTGCCTGTGCTTCAGGCACAGTTGGATCCAGCTCTCTAGGGGTGTTAGTCAGGCCTCTGTCTCTGGTTCTTCCCAGTGACTTCATTTTCAGGCGGACTGCCATCATCTTACCTTCCTTTCCCCCAGGTTAGCAACTATTCCAAAGAGGATTATCACAGAAATGATTTTGGTGACTGGGCTTGGAATGAATTGTGGTGACTTAACCAGACCTGGCTCCTAGGACCCCTGGGGACCCAGAGTTTCCCAGCAGAAGTGGGCAGCATCCTCCTCCTTATCTGAACAACCATGGGGTGCTCTCCTATGAAAACCAAGGCTGCCGGCCCTGCTCTGCCAGCAGGTTGTCGTGAGGTATGGATGGAAGCCAGGAGCCAGGACGCCAACTTCTGGTCTACCCAGGAGGCTTTGGAGTTTAGATGGGAGCCAGAGGTGGTCCCCCTGCAGCAGGGAGGAGGGGGCTTGAGGAAGGAAGGACTTACAACTGGAAGCTGTGCCCAGGGATGGAGGAGCCTTCCAATGGGGTGATGAGCCCCGTACCAGGTGCGCAAGTTGAGACCACCTGGTGGTAGAGGGCACACAGTGTGTATGCAGGCCCTCCTGGTTGCGGCTGAGTGAGCGGCTGGAAGACCTGGTGATTGTCAGAGGGGCCTCTGCACCACTGCCCCTGCCCCATGGGGGTCGCTAAGCTGACTACTGGGTTGGAGCTGGCTTCCGGGGCGCCAGTGCCATGGACTCCCAGGCTGTCTCCAGCAGTGGATGCAAGATCTTCCCTCCCAGCCAGCCCTACCTTGCATTTCCAGGCCATTGCAGGAGCTGGAGGAGATCCCTGGATGGCTGAATTTCTGTGTCCAGTGTAGCACCACCCTCTCCCGCCCCATCTACTTCTCTTCCCCTTCCCCTTCCCCATTGCCCAGGAAGTGGCCTAATTAGGTTCCCGCTAGGAGTGTTTACTGGCCACGGGCTCTCAAGAGCCTCTCAGTGGCTCCTGCCTCCATGCTGGCTTGGCTGGGCTGTGTGTGTCCCAGCATCTGGAACAGACACTCTGTGTGTGTGTGTGTGTGTGTGTGTGTGTGTGTGTGTGTGTGTGCCTTGCCTTGCATGCATGCTCCTGCAAACCCCTGGCTCTGGTCTTAGGCTTTGCCTGGAGAGACATTCAGGCCCCTTTGCTGTAATGTTTATTGTCAGGTGGGACCTGTGTGTGTGTGTCTGTGTGTGTGTGTGTGCGCGCGCGCGTGCGCGCGCGTGCAGGCAGGCACTCTGCTGTCTGGGTTGGTCTGGTCCCTGGGTTGACAGTGGGGATGGCTGGGCCTCTGGGCTGTGGTTTGGGAGCTGGCAGGTTCAAGTTGGAATCCTAACCCTTGACCAAGTGACTCATACTATGTGATATGGGGCAAGCCACTCTGCCGCTCTGCGCTCAGCTCTGCATCTGTGAAAGGGCCGGCCTCCTTGAATGCAGATGAGTGGGAATGTGTGTGTAGATAACCTGGGGTGTTGTGGTTAGTTGTGAGCTATTTAAGGGTGCCCTGGCTTGGGTGCTGCTAGGGGTAGCGATCTTATCTTGTTTTGCAAGACCCATAGCTCAGGGCTAGATGTATTTAGCTGGTGCTCAGTTATGCCTCTTGTGGAATAAAGACTGATTGGGTTTAGAGGTGGCAAATTGCTGGACTGTACCACTTAAAAAAAAGGGGTGACACTGTCCAAAAAGAAATGTACTCATTACCTGACTTAAATAACTGTAATCCCTGGGTAAATAGCCTTTATAATAACAATTTAAAAAACTCTTAAAATTAGCTGTCAATGTTTACAAATCACTGTTTTGTCGTAGAAACCAGTTCTGTAGCTGTCTGAATGCTTTGTGCCCATGGGCCACCCTGGCCTGAGTCTGAAGGGTCACCTGTGCTACCACAGGTTCCATGGCTTATGACCTCTACAGGCACAGGAGCCACAGCCCAGGGAACACAGCTGAATCTTCCCATCTGTCCCTGGGTTTGTGGGCTTATGGAAAAGAGGCTGTGGGGATCTCCTATATCCAAGATGGCTCAGGGGGCCACATATGGGGGGCTGCTCAGCCTCAGGGTCTCTGGATATCCTCTTTATTTTCCTCTTTTATTGTGCTAGTACTGGGGCTTGAACTCAGGACCTGGGCACTGAATATTTATTTATTTAGCCCATTCTGGGGCTTGAACTCAGGTCCTAGACACGATTCCCGAGCTGCTTTCGTTCAAGGCCAGCGAGCCACTGCTCTTTTGCCATTGAAGATTTTGAGTCCCCTGACCCCTTCCTAGCTTTTCTTTGAGGTCCAGACTGATGGCTATTTGTGCCCCTTTGACTTCCCTGAGCCTTCCCATATCTCATAGCCTGCCTGCTCTCTGCAATCCCAGGCAGGCCTGGAGGAGGTTGGCCTCCAGTGCCTGCTCCAGGGTGGTTCCCTTAACCCAGATCACCTCCTGGAAATATGGCAATGTGCAGGCCCAGCTGCTGTGTCTAGGGACCACCACATGGTTTTGGTCATTCTCACCTCTTGGAGATTGGAGAGTGAGAACCAGCCTTGCAAGAGTAGGCATGGCAGGGGTGTTGAGTCACAGGTGTGATTAACAAGCCTTTTAAGAATAAATGGTAAGCTGGGTGCTGGTGGCTGATGCCTGTAATCCTAATTACTCAGGAGGCAGAGATCTGAGGATCACAGTTCAAAGCCAGCCTGGGCAGGAGCATCCGTGAGACTCTTTTCTCCAATTAACCACCAGAAAACTGGATGTAAAGCTATGGCTCAAAGTGGTAGAGCATTAGCCTTGAGTAAAAGAGCTCAGACATGGCACCCAGGCTCTGAGGTCAAGCCCCATGACTGATAAAAAATAAATAAATAAAATTAATTAATTAAAAAATATAAAATGGTGCTGGGAAGAGAGGGAGCCCATTTGGCTGAGTTTCATAAGCCTGGAATATGCTTCCAGTGAAATGAGGAAGGTAAGGGAAAAGAAGGGAAGGGAAGAGAAGGTTCTGCTGTCTGAAACTTCCTTTTCTTATAAACTTTTTGAATTTATGTCAGTGAATCATTTTAAGAAAATACAAGGCTGGGTGTGGTGGCCTATGCTTGTAATCCCAGCTGCATGGGAGACAGGTTAGAAGATCATTGTCTGAGGCTGGCTGGGGGGAAAAAAATGCCAGGCTCTCCCTGAAAAAATAACTAGAGCAAAAGAGGAATTGAATAGGGCTGACATTGTCCCAGCCTAGTAAGCACAAGGTCCTGATGCTGAGGTAAAAGAAAATAGTCTCCTGAGGAGGAGTTACATAACACAGATGTGGAGATGCTCTGGTTGATGTGGGCATAGGGGCGGAGCCTAGGCCCCTCAGCCTTCCTGGCTTATCTGGGACCTGTGGCTAGCCCCAAATCCCTGGAGCAGCCGGGCTCCATGAAGAGCTGAAGGCACAAGACTCAGTGAGACATCCCAGGAAGCCAGTGATTGGAACAGTCTGGATGCTGACCTCCACCAGGCTTATCCGGTTGTTATGGGGGCTGCTCTGCTGAAATTAATGAACACTATTGGATAATTAGGTCTCCATGTGGAAAAAGAAATGAACTTCGAATCCTACCTCACAGCACACACAACACATTACCTGTACTGTTTTTTTTTTTTGGGGGGGGGGAGAGTAACATGTCAGACTTCCAGAGTAGTGGTGAGCACATGGGGCTCAGCAGAAGTGCTGTGTCTGTCTACACAGCCTGCTGCAGTAGCAGCCAGCCAGGTGTGGCTCTGGACCCTTGCAGAATGGCTTGTGTAACTAACTGAGGGCCTGGATTTTTTGTCTGTCTGTCTGTCTATCATCTTTAGGCAAAATCTTGCTATGCATCTTAGGCTGGCTTTGAACTTATAACCCTCCAACTTCAGCCTCTCAAAAATTGGGATTGTAGTTGTGTGCCATGTTAGTAGTTTATTGTTTGCTTTTGTTTTGCCAGTCCTGGGGCTTGAACTCCTGGGGCTTGAACTCAGGGTCTGGACATTATGCCTGAGCTTTTTTTTTTTTTCCCCTCAAGGATAGCACTCTACCACTTGAGCCACAGCTCCACTGCCAGCTTTTTGGTGATTAATTGGAAATAAGAGTTTCATGCTCTTTCCTACTTGGGCTGGCTTTGAACCATGATCCTCAGATATCAGCCTCCTGAGTAGCTATTGTTACAGATAGTAGTTGTAGTTTTATTTTAAAATTTTCCTATGGTGCTAATTGGGTTTAAGCTCAGTGACTCACATTTGCTAGGCAGGTGGTCTACCACTTGCGTGCCTTCTGATTTAGGTAAATGTCAGGTAGGGCCTGACATTTGCTGGAGACTTGCTTTGGACCACTATTCTCTTACCACTGTCTCCTTTGTAGCTGAGATCACAGGTGAACTACTATGCCTGGCCTACTGGTTGAGATGGGTCTTGCTAAATTTTTTGCCCAGAATGGCCTCATGCTCTACCTTTGTGGCAACTGGGATTACAGGCGTCCATACCTGATCTACATAGTTCATTTTTAATGAATTTGAATTAACTTGTAAATAGCCACACATGGATAGTGGCTCCCTTAAGGGTCACTGTAATTCTAGAAATGCCTCTCTTGGCCCTGCTCTCCTCCTCATGACAATTCTGCTATGACTTGGCTGGTTGTCATCAAATCTGCTTTGTCTCCACAGAGCTAAGGATTTCTTGTGTCTGGTCAGCCCATCCTGGATGCCCGGGAAGATGTCGGTGGTGCAGTGAATGCAGCCTGGTGGCTGGAGAGTGCAGCTGCATTGCCCATGGAGCTGCAGGCCCCGGAGGCCTCTGCCCAGCTCCTTTTACCAGCTCTGGAGAGGCCAGAGGCTTAGACTCAGAGAGGAGGGTATTGTGGACAGATGCCCCCACACTGTGGGAGCTCCTGAGCTAGTTGGTGAGCCAGGGCTCTGGAGAGGAAGATGCCAGCCAAGGGGCGCTACTTCCTCAATGAGGGAGAAGAGGGTCCTGACCAGGCGGCACTCTATGAGAAGTATCGCCTCACCAGCCAGCACAGACCGCTGTTGCTGGTGCTGCTGGTGGTGGCCGTTGCTGCCTGCGTTGCACTCATCGCCATCACCTTCAGCCACAAGGTGAGTCCCTGGGCAGCATCAGGCTGCACATGGGTGGGGACGCTGTTCTTCAGAGCTCAGGCCAGCTGTTAATTTTCCCAGCGTCTTAGATGTCTCCTCTTGAAATGCTCTACAGAGTTCAGGTTGCCAGAAGATAGGTCAGTGTGAAATGAATTTAAAGTCTGGAGAGGTTTTAGGTATTGCATTCATCGGGCCAGATAAACTGTCCTTCCATTTACCACCATGCAATTTGGTCTACTACAGACCTGAGTTCAGGGAGAGATGGCTTGTGTATCTGTCACTCTTCCATACTTCCCAGACTATGGCAGACATCAGTAATCAATACCTGCACTTTTGAGCCTATCTCAGAATTCTTCGCACAGCTTCCACCATCCTTTCTGATCTTGGCTTGGCACTTGCCTCGCTGCAGCCACTAGCTGGGTGCGGCTATTCAGCCCTTGGCATCTGACATCTGACTGGGTGCCTACAATTTAAATTTTCTTATTGGTATAAATTTGATTAGAGAACTATGGAAGAAAATAGATTGTAGAAAATTAATCTGTGTCAAATGGCTGGAACCCTTCAGGGGTCACTCCCCAGATCAGCCTCTCTCCTCCTGGGGATTTTGGGGTCCTAGGGACTCTGGGTGCAGTGCCAGTTTTGGGACCTCTTCCTAGCCCCTCCATAGCCCTCTGTGCCTTTGTTTGAGCACCTGTCTGTGGGGGGAATGCCTGCCTTCATCCCTCCTTCTGGAAGAATCGATTGCAACCTCTTCTTCTCCAGGTGCTTTCTGAGACTTTGCCTAAGAGGAGGCCCTGACTACTGTCATGTCACCAGTCACCTGCAGGTGCACACAGAGCCCAGCTCTGCCTCCTAGGGCCATGATTTCCTAGGGTAGGGTGAGGAGCGTGCTAGGCTTCTGAGGAGACTGGTAAGGGTAGCCCTAGCGGAGGTGATAGCCTCACAGCCCTGAGGTTAGGAGAAGCAGAGGCACCAGAAGTGGGGCTGGGCAGGCTTCCTGGAGAGCTAGCACCTGGGACAGAGGCCAGGCATTCCGTGTCTGTTTGTTCCGCCAGGACTCCTCTGGACACCAAGCCATCCTGGGCACAGCATTCTTCACACTCATGGTGTTCACAGCTCTCTATGTGCTGGTGTACATTGAGTGCCTTGTGCAGCGATGGCTGTGGGCCCTGGCACTGCTCACCTGGGCCTGCTTCATGATGCTGGGCTATGTGCTGGTGTGGGACTCCTGGAAGAGGGCAGCCTGTGCGTGGGAGCAGGTAACAGGGTGGGACCTGCTCTGACATGGGGAGCAGACCTATGCTCACACGTGGCTGTGGCTCTGGGTCATGGCTCCGGGAGGAGGATAGGCCCCAGGCTTCTTTGGCCCTACCATTCTTTCTGTTGATGGGGCTAAAGTGGGAGTAACCCACTTCTGGCTGGAATGACTCTTTGTTTTATTATAGATCTATATCTATATATAGTGTGCTAGTCCTGGGCTTGAACGCAGGGCTTAAGTGCTATCCCTGAGCTTTTTTGTTCAAGGCTAATGTTCTACCACTTGAGCCACGGCTCTGCTGCCAGCTTTTTGGAGTTTCATTGGAGCTAGGGGTCTCACAGGCTTTCCTGCCTGGGCTGCCTTTGAACTGTGGTTCTTAGATCTCAGCCTCCTGAGTCTGTCGTATTACAGGTGTGAGCCACTGGTTGAACCCTGGCTGGCTGGGGTGTTTTTGAGTGGCCCCCTGTAGAGATGACAGAGGGCACAAAGGCACCAAATGGCTCCTGTGCCCAGAAGGGCTGAAGGCCAGGCATGCTGGCCCTAGAGCTCCAGGAGAAGCAGCTGCATTCTCACCCATGCTTCTCCCCCCTGAGTTAGCCACCTCAGCTGAGGACAGGCCTGTTCTTTTCTTTTTTGGTCTGCGACCAGGACTTGAATGCTATGCCTGACACTTTTGCTAACTGGGCTTGGCTAACTGGGCCATGCCTCCATCCCCAAGAGCCTGTTCTCAGTCTACTTGAGACCCAGGCTATGTCTCCCTGGCCTGGTGGCCATTGTGGTCAAGGGTGCTACACTGTGTTCCTGCGCCGGTGGCTGTGTGGGGCAAAGCTCTTGAAACACGCAGACTGCAGGCTATTGGGGGAAGTGGCGCTGCCCTGGAAGGGGAGGATACAGGGGAGGAGGGAAGACGGCTGCAGTGGGAGGTAGCGTGTCTCCATCCCACCAGGGATGATCCTCCCTGAGTCATAGGCGCATGGCATCTTGCTCCTGGGGGCTCAGCTCCAGCATGTAGTGGTGGTGGAGATTGTGGCCTAGGCTGTCTTGTGGAGAGGGGCACCCTGCGCACAGAGGGCCTGGGTGGGGGCTGTCCCATAGTTCAGCTTTGGTTGTGCCCCAGGTAGCGTGGCCAACTCCAGCCTCTTGGCCCGTTGTCCCTAGGTGCCCTTCTTCCTGTTTATCATCTTTGTGGGGTATACGCTGTTGCCCCTCAGCATGCGGGGCGCCATCACCGTGGGGGTGCTTTCCTCTGCCTCCCACCTCCTGGTGTTCGGTGCTCTGATGGGGATCTTCACGAAGCCCTTCGTCCAGGTGGGGCTGCAGGTAAGTGGTTTGCTGGGGACAGGTTAAGGCCTCTGAGGAGGGCATGGGTTACCAGGGCCCAGAGTGGGTAAACTGGGTCCAGAGTCCTCAGTGCTGGCCTTCACGCTGCTGGCGCGGGTGTTTCTGTGAGCCCAGCCCCTACCTGCTGGGTCAGTGCATTGTCATGGCATGAGGTCCTGCTCCCCAGGCTGGGTCAGGGTGTGGGATATGCTGCGCTGGGTCTGTGCCTTTGTGTTGAGTGGACAGATGTACACATAAGTCAGCAGGGCTTAGGGATTCAGTGTCCTTTTGGATGCCTCCTTCCAACGCTTCAGGCACCCAGTTGGGTCCTGCGCTTCAGCACTGATACTCTCAGCACTTGGCTCTGTGAGGGGTTCACTCTCTCCCCCTGGAAGTTCTAGCTCCCCAGGCTCTAGTGTCTGAGCCCCACTGGACAAGACAAGCACTAGTGATGCAGAGAAGACCCAAGTCCTGGTCCTGTAGCCACAGATGACTTAGGAGACCAGCTCCTGTCTGGGCCTCAGTTTCCCTGAGTGGGCTAGGGTAAGGGGTATGGGCAGAGTGGCTTCAGCATCTGCCAGGGGGCTGGTGCTGGGGTGAAATGGACAAGTCAGACTGGATGCTGAGCCCAGCCCTCGGCCCCTCCCAGCTGCTGGCCAACACCATCATCTTCCTGTGCGGGAACTTCACGGGTGCCTTCCACAAGCACCAGATGCAGGATGCCTCCCGGGACCTCTTCACCTACACGGTCAAGTGCATCCAGATTCGCCGGAAGCTGCGTGTAGAGAAGCGCCAGCAGGTGAGGGGGCCCTGCTTCCCCAAGGGGCCACAGCTTGGCCATTCCCCCCGCCCCTCCATAGAGGTGCTGGTTGAGAGCCATGTCAGTCATGAGCTGACCCCAATCGGGGCCAACAGGGGGCTGCTGGGACGGGAAGCTGTGTGTCCACCTGGGCCAGTGCTGGACATTCGCAGACAGAGAATGTGGGCAGAGTGAGCAAGAGGGCAGCAGGCTGGTTTCCAGGTCGGTCAGCCTGGAGTTTTGATGCTGCCTTGCTTGTCCTTCTTGGTCCCTCTGCTGGTCTGCCCATTGTGCCCAGGAGAACCTGCTACTGTCTGTGTTACCAGCCCACATCTCCATGGGCATGAAGCTAGCCATCATCGAGCGGCTCAAGGAGAACGGCGGCTGCCGTTACATGCCCGACCACAACTTCCACAGCCTCTATGTGAAGCGGCACCAGAACGTCAGGTGGGTGATGCGCCCCCCCCCCCCCACTGAGCCGGGCCCACTCCCCAAGTGCCAGGAGGGCAGTTGGGGTCCCTCCTGCCTCATCTCCCCAGCGGCATCCACTCACCCAGCTCACCCTGCTGGTCTTATCTGGGCTGCAAGAGTTGGCTGATGGGAACAGGGAGGTCTGCTGAAAATCCCAGCTCTGTTCCTTGAGCCTGGGGGTTTTCCCTCCTGCCTGGCAGGGCTAAGGGTACTGGGCTGCCAAGGAGAGCCTGCTCTCTGCCTTCCACAGTGGTAAGCTGGGTCCAGACCTTCCTGCTCCGGAGGAAGGCAGGAGCAGCTTGGGTCCAGGGCTAGATGCCCACTGCCTAACCTGACCTGCACCCCACCCCAGCATCCTGTATGCAGACATCGTGGGCTTCACCCAGTTGGCCAGTGACTGCTCCCCCAAAGAGCTGGTGGTGGTACTGAATGAACTCTTCGGCAAGTTTGACCAGATTGCCAAGGTGAGCACTGAGGGCTACGCGCCAACCACCACAAGGCCTCTGCTGCCTCCTCCACAGGAGGAACAGGATTCGAGGCTGTGGCTTAAATCTAGTGCCCCAGCAGCAAACCTCTTGGGGGGGGGGTAGATGTGGGATTGGGTGGCTGTAGCAGTCAGGACCTTGTTTCTGCTCCAGAGACTGGAAAGACACTGACAGTGCACGCCTAGGGAGCCACAGGGCCCCGCAGCTCAGCAGGGTGTAGAGGAAGAATTGAAGGGGGGCGGGGCAGGTGGCCTCATCCGGTGGCCTGAGAGATGCAGAGGACATGGTCTGAACCAGAGTCTGTGTGTGACAAGGCCTTAGGTGAATCATGGCTGCACAAAAGTTTGAGAAACCAAAGAAAGAGACCCAGGGAAGAAGGGAACAGTGTCTAGGCAGAGGGGAACAGGGTGTATAAAACTTGAAATGGAAGCTCTGTATGCCAAGGAATGAGCCGAGGACAAGAGGGACAGGACCACAGTGTCGGACACGCGTGGAGTGATGGTTGGGGTGGTAGAGGCTTCGAGCCTCGGTCTGCCCTCCTGCGGCTCTCAGCGCTCAGCTTACGTGCTTTAAAGAAGGCTGCAGAAGTGTGGCCAGGTATCGGTCAGGGTGGGCTTCCTGGAAGACATGGCTGTGGAGTTGCGTAGAAGCAGCTGTTTTGCCTTCTAGACTGGTGGATGGGCATGTAAGGAGGTGGGGTGGTTTGTGAGCAGAGCTCTCAGACCCCACAAGGCCTCAGAACCTGTCCCCAACAACTATATGTAGGGGACACGGCAGACTGCCAGGGTGTGAGGTGCTGCTGAGGCTCAGGCTTCCCTTGGGTCCAGCGGTGTTACGGTACCTGAGAAAGGGTGAAGGGTGCTGGAGCCCAGCCCCTCTCCACACTGTCTTTTAATTTCTTCTGGACACTCAAGAGCTTGGCATGTAATTGGGTGGTGGAGGCTCACATGGGAAATCCTAGCTACTTGGAGGCTGAGCTCTGAGGATCACCGTTTGAAGCCAGCCCGTGCCGCCAAGTCCTGTGAGACTCTTACCTCCAATTAATCACCAGAAAGCTGGAAGGGGAACTGTGGCTCCAGTGGTAGACTGCTAGCCTTGAGCAAAAAAGCTCAGAGACAGCGCCTAGGCCCTGAGTTCAAGCCCCAGGTTTGGCCCAAAACAAAAAACAAACAAAAGAATTTGGCATGTGCCAACCAGGGCCATCAGGAAGCACTGAGCACATACTGAAATTGGGGTAACTAGGAGGGCTGGGTGAAGGGACTGTTCACAGTGAAGGCGAGCTGTTTCATGTCTGGGCACTGGGTCAGGGCCAGATGGTCGCTGCTAGGGTAGACCCTGCCCCCACCAGGACCTGGCAGCCCTGCCACACTGACTGAGGGCTGGTTGTCAGATCAGCATCTCAGATCCTCATGCAGTCCTCCAGCCCCTCCCTCGATGAACATTTTCCTTCTCTGCCTCTCCTCTTCACTTTTGCTCTGCTCAGTCTCCCTTTGCCCAGCCTAGCAGCATGGCGTCTCTTGGCCAGATACCTGTTGACCAGTGGCTTAAGGATACCCACTTTTACTCAGTCCATGCAGGCCACCTTGGCTGCCTGGCTGGCTGTTCAGTAGCTTTCTAGCACAGGGCCCTTACATGAGCCTGGAATGCTCTTCTTCTAGGTGCTGGTGTGGCGTGCTTGCTCTGTTCTGCTAGGTCTGGTTCAGATATCACCTTCGCTGGGAGGCCTCTGGCTTTTTGAGCCCCCTGGCACCTCGCCTTTGGGCACAGCATTGATTGTCTTTGTGTAGCTCAGTGCCCAGACCCACACCCATCAGCCTGGGTGCCCACAGTTGCACAGGTCAACGCCTGACCTAGTCCAGGGCCAAAGTCCACAGCAGGTGCTCAAACATTGCATAGACAATGGAAATGAAGGCAGCCCCTCCTGCAGAGGCCCTTACTAAGCCACTCTCATCGCAGATAGAAGCTGGGGCTTCCTCCTGGTGAGGCAGGGCCTCACCCAGCAGGACCCAGGGGTCCTGATCTCCCTCACCAGCTCAGAAGCCATTCCTGATGCCCAGAGCCGCAGGAGGCAGGTCATGGCCAGGAAGGAGTCCAGATCATGTCCAGGATGTGGCCCCAGTCCAGGCCTGGCTCTGATCAGGCCTCTGCCTCACCCTGCAGGCCAACGAGTGCATGCGGATCAAGATCCTGGGTGACTGTTACTACTGCGTGTCTGGCTTGCCCGTATCCCTGCCCACCCATGCCCGCAACTGTGTGAAGATGGGGCTGGACATATGCGAAGCCATCAAGTAAGTGCAGAGGGCATGGCCAGGGGCATCTTACCTGAGGCTGCCACACAGGAGGGCCAAGCCCAGGCTTCTGGCCTCTGGCCTCCCCCCTCCCTCCCTCCCTCCTTCCTTCCTTCCCTCCCTTCTTCTCCAGGGACTCCAAGACTGTAGCATGGCAGAGGCACAGAATTGGATGATGTGAAAATAGGCAGCTGGGCTTTGCCTTTCTAAAGACTTAGTCTATTTGACAGCAAGAGAGGCTCAGGGCAGACAGCAGGAGAACCTTCCAGACTGGGTCTAACACCTAGGCTCCATCTCCTTCCTGTTTCTCTCTGGAAGCCTCTGAGTCCAGCTTCATGGAGTTGGAAGCCTGATGGGCTCCTCCCTGTGAGGTGCTCCAGGTCTGTGGGCCAGGTCACTGTCGTGGTCACAGGTTGTGGCAGTCATATGGACTGGGCTACATGGACAGTGTGGGAAGGCAGGGCTGTTGGAGCTCCCAGGGACACCCTTGGTGCCAGTTCATGCTTCATCCTGGCGTCTTCCTACAGTGGCTGGGACAGCCAGGAGAGTCATGGCAGATTTGGGTCTAGCCTGGCCCTGCCACCCACGAGACCCGGGCTGCCTGACTCAGCACTGTGGCGGTGTCTACCCTTTGCCCACTCTGGGTGTCCCTAGCAGGTTCCATTCCTCCTTAGCCCTGTTGGTAGACGTGGGTGCCAGCTGCTCCCCTGCCCCTTGTGTTCTTGCTGGGGATGTAGAGGTCACCTTGTATGTCTATGGAATGGGGGTGGGGGGTTGCAGAGGGCTCCTAGTCCTGGAAGTGTAAGAAGAGAAGCCCAGGGCTCCTTGTCTGTACTGGGTGCGGGGCAGCATCTTGTTCCTTTTTGTTGTTGTTGTCGGTCGTGGGGCCTGAACTCTGGGCCTGGGCGCTGTCCCTCAGCTCTTCAGCTCAAGGCTAGCGCTCTACCACTTGAGCCACAGTGCCACTTCCCCTGCCCTGAGAGCTGCAGTGACTGGAATGTTGGGGCAGCCCTTGCCTCACTGCCCAGCCCTTGGGGGAGGGAGCCCTGTCCTTACCCCCCGCACTCTGTCTCATGGCTGGCATGGGGGACTTGCTTCTGCCCCAGGCAGGTGCGGGAGGCCACGGGCGTGGACATCAGCATGCGTGTCGGCATCCACTCAGGGAATGTGCTGTGTGGGGTCATCGGGCTGCGCAAGTGGCAGTATGACGTGTGGTCCCATGATGTGTCTCTGGCCAACAGGATGGAGGCGGCCGGAGTCCCAGGGTGAGGCTTTGCTGGGTGTGGGTGGAGCCTGGGCCTCACATGGGGGCGGAGGAGGCCAGGTGTGAAGGCAGTGGGAGGAGCCCTCCCCCCCCCCCCCCAGGGTTGTGCTGCTTTCTCTGACTCGGGTCTCTCCAGCCGGGTGCACATCACAGAGGCGACACTGAACCACTTGGACAAGGCCTATGAGGTGGAGGATGGGCAGGGGCAGCAGCGGGACCCCTACCTGAAAGAGATGAACATCCGCACTTACCTGGTGATCGACCCTCGGGTATGTGGGCTCCCGTGGCTGGAGGGAGGCTGGGCTGGGTGATCCTGGAGTAGCATTCTCACACTGGAGAGATGACATGATGGACAGAGGGTGGATTTCAAGTCCGTGGAAGTGGCTGGCTGGCTAGGAACCCACTTCCTGTGGCTGTGCATAGAGTAGGGGCTAAAGGCCAACACCTCAGCTTTCTTTCCTGTGAAATGGTGCCCAGCTGGGCCTGCCGGGTGAGGGGAGACCCTGAGGCTGTAGCATGTCCCGAGACACTTTTTTTTTTGTCAGTTGTGGGGCTTGAACTCAGGGCCTGGGTGCTGTCCCTGAGCTCTTTTGCTCAAGGCTAGTGCTCTAACCACTTTGAGCCACTGCTCCACTTCTGGTTTTTGGCGTGGTTAACTGGAGATAAGAGTCTCACAGGGACGTGTCTGCTTTGAACTGTGATCCTCAGATTGCAGCCTCCTGAGTAGCTAGGCTTACAGGCGTGAGCCACCAGCGCTCAGCTTCAAGACACTTTTCTAACACATTGATTTAGTTAGACTCAGGAAAGCCCGGCTGGCCAGGGAGCCCTAGGCAGGGAGCTGAGAGGGTCTTGGGCTCCAGGCTCCCCGTCCATCTGCGCAGTGCTGCCTCCCCTTCTCCTGAGACCCAGCTTGTGGTGATGGGAGGGCTGTGTGACCTGAGTGAGCCTGTGGGTGCCTGGCCTGTCGCTGCCCCAGTCTGGCTGAGGCTGGTGAGTCATCCTTGGGGCTTGCTCAAAAGTGCAGGCCGCAAGCTCCTTCCAGCTTCCTCTTGCTCAGCCTTAGCCATTGCTGGGGGGCAGCCCCGGAGCCCCTCCACCATGCCTGTAGCCTCGCTCTGCTGAGGTCACATTCACATGGCGTTAGAGCCTGGGAAAGCCCCTGTGGGGTCACTGACCTGCTCCTCCAAGGGCCCCCAAGGGTCCTATTGAATCCTTTCCTTATTTATTGTGACCCCAGCTTCAAGAGCAGGTTCCCTCTCTTCAGGCTGCTACCCAGCTCAGAGCAGGTGCTCGGGTAGCTTTGGAATGGATCAAGCAACCCCCAAAATTCCAAAACCCACCCCTGGAGGCTAATCGAGTGAAGGAGTCTAGCAGAGTTGCTGATGAGGGTGTGGCAGGCTCAGAACTCCCACAAGGAGGAGATGTCTGGAGTCCCTGTTGGGAGAAGGGCAGAAGGGAATCTGTAGACCCCACTGTGTGCCAAACTCATCTCTGCTGATCTCAGGGCTCTTTCTCCTCCTTTCCTTGTGTCCAGCTCTTCCTGGCAACTTTGCCTGGAGACACCAGGGGCTGTGGAGGGTGTCTCGGGCTCAGTGGCCCAGAAGAGGAGCCTGTAGGCCAGGCTAAGCCACAGGTGCTAGGCAGGGAATGTATCCAAGCTGGAGGCTGGAGTCTACCTGGAACTTTCTAGAAGGCTGCTCTGGAGGTCAGCTGGTATCTCGGTTGCTGTGTCTTTGTGAGTGCCAGCAGCTCTCCTTTCCTGCCTGTTTCTCCCCCTTGGAAAGAAGGAACACGTACTGGCCACATGTGGGCAAGACACTTGTGTTTCGCTGGCCTCCTGGCAGAGGCGACAGGGGAATCAGGCCCCAGAGGCCACCTATTTCAAAGAGCCCAAGGGGCAGGGCTGGGCTCTGGACTGGGTGACCACCAGTCTCCTCTTAGCCTGGGGACAGCCATGGGACCGAGCTGGGGTCCCTTGCCTGGGGCCTCAGCCAGCTCCCTCAAACTAGTGCTGTCCCCAGGCGCTGCAGGCTGGAGCTTTGTCTTATTTCCCAGCAGGCTGTGTGGGCAGGGTGACATTTTGGAGAGAGAGTGGAGGGGTGGATTGAGAGGGACATTGGTGGATCAGATTGTCCATGGGTCTACAGAGCCAGCAGCCACCCCCACCCAGCCAACAACCCCCGAGGCCCAAGGGAGATGCGGCCCTGAAGATGCGGGCTTCTGTGCGTGTGACCCGCTACCTTGAGTCCTGGGGGGCAGCACGGCCCTTCGCACACCTCAACCACCGCGAGAGCGTAAGCAGCAGCGAGACACTCATCCCCAATGGGCGCAGGCCCAAGGTAGGTCCCCTCCTGCTCTGGCAGCTGAAGTAGGACTGGGAGCAAATGCTGGGGGTGAGTCCATTCTCTCCCCCACCTCTGTGGAGAGCTGGAGGCATGTGGAGACTACTCCAGGGGGCTGGGGGCATCCCTTGTCCTTTTTCTCCCTAGTTGAGCCCTGGCTCAAGGTGCTGCAGCTTGGACAGTCCCTGACACCTTGCACAGAGGTCAGAGGTGATAAACTCAGGCCCAGGGATCGACCGGGGCTCATGGGCCAGACAGTCACTGCGTCCTCCCCTCCCTCCCACTTTAGGCCATTCCCCTACGGCGCCACCGGACCCCTGACAGGTATGCATAGCCCCCTCCTGGCTGCGTTGTGCCTCGGTCACTTCCTCCAGGCAGGCATCCCGCCCCTGTGTGGGGCAGCCCCACCAGGCTCTGCCCAGCCTCTGTGAACTCTGCTGTTTCTGGAAGAGGACTTCCAGGTCCTTGGGAGAGGGCTATTGGAGGAAGGGGGTGGGATGTGGGCCGACCCTGGAGGGGGGCAGACGAAGCCACAGGCTGGGAGCCGGGAGTCTGGCCTCTGCTTCTGATGGGACCACTTGCTAGCTGGGAGACATGGCCCTTCATTTGTACTCCTGGGCCTCAGTGGTACTCACTCACTTCTCCATTGTCCCAAATGAGGCTCAAGACCTCTGTCATGCGCCTCTTCCCCCACTTGTGGCCAGCTAATCCACACCTGCTCCGGAGTGAGTGGACGTGGGGTTCCTGGGTAGTGCAGTTGGGGGTGTCTGTTTCCAGAAGTGCATCCCCCAAAGGGCGCTCAGAGGATGACTCCTACGACGATGAGATGCTGTCGGCCATCGAGGGGCTCAGCTCCACCAGGTGAGGCCCTGCGATCTTAGCCCATCCTCCACTGTCCCTTGAGTCGGGGGGGGGGTCCTCCATATGGCAGGCCCACCTACGTGCTCATACCTGTGGCTGGGTTCCACTTCCCCAGAGCTGCCTCTTGAGGGTCCCCACTGTCAGACCCCATCTCATGCTGCTGCTCCCCCCTCCCCTGCCCAGGCCCTGCTGCTCCAAGTCTGATGATTTCCACACCTTCGGGCCCTTCTTCCTGGAGGAGGGCTTTGAGCGAGAGGTGAGGCCCCTGGGCAGAGGAAGCCAGGCCTGGGGTGAGGTGTATGTGAGCCCTAGAGGCTCATGGGAGCCTCTACATCTGGTTGCTAGGGTGGGGTGGGCTCAATGCAGCCCCAAACTTGTTGACTCTTTCCAGCTGCTCTTACTCCTTCACCCTTCACCAGGATTTACCCTGTGGGTTTGGAAGATTTTTATTCCATCCAATGCCAGGCAATCAATGGATAGGGCCCAGTGGGCGTCAGGCTTCAAATTCAGTCTTGGCATTGTCAGGACCTGGGGGTTCTCCCGCCTGTCTGCGGCCATGGTTCCTGTTCCACAGTGGACAATGATGTTGTTGTAGGGCATCTCCTGGCTCCTGGTGGGTTGTTATGTAACAACCCACACCCAGGTGACCGGGAGCCTGCTAGGCCCAGCTCATGCACAGGAGCCTGTTCTCCAGGCAGTTCCAGAGCTGTCCTTAGCTTCAGGCTGTGGGGCTAGGCAGTAGGAGGTCTGTGTTCTAGGTGCCAAGATTGGAGGGGAGGGACCAACTTGTCCCTGGGCTCCCAAGTGAGGTCACCAGGAAATGAACTTGGTTCTTGTCCATGGTCTATGAGCTCTTCAGGGGCCTTGGAAATGGAGGCCTGGCTGGGCACGGGGAGGAGGTGATTGCTTTGCAACAGAAATCGAATTGCTAGATGCAGATGAATGAATGCTAATCAGTGGAACACTGGAACTCCCGTTGTGGGGGGGGGGGTGAGGTGGGAGGAGGCATTTTCTTTCCATCACTTAGGTGATGAACTCAAGCAGGGGTGAGGGGAGCTGGGAAGGGAGTCCTGCAGGTGGCTGACCCTCATAGTTTTGTTGCTGCAGTACCGCCTGGCACCCATCCCTCGGGCCCGCTATGACTTCGCCTGTGCCAGCTTGGTTTTCCTCTGCATCTTGCTCGTCCATGCCCTGGTGATGCCCAGGTTAGTCTGAGGTGGGGAAGACGATGGAGCCCACTGAAGTAGAGCTGGAAGGGTCGTATCCCAGCAAAGCTGCACGGGACTTCTAACTCTGGAGTCTTCCAGTGCAGGGACCAGGACCTTGCAGCCCCACTGGAGTTGCCTATTCTTACTTGTAACTAATGTGCCACAGGCCTCCCTGCTGCCTAATGCCTCTCACTTTGCTAAGTTACCTGTTACTTCCGCAGTCACCTCTGGACTTAGATATTTATAATCCTTTAAGGGAATACTGGCATCTCCTTTATGGCCGTGTGTGTGTGTGTGTGTGTGTGTGTGTGTGTGTGTGTGTGTGTGTGTGTGTGTGTGTGTGTGTGTGTGTGTGTGTGTGTGTGTGTGTGTGTGTGTGTGTGTGTGTGTGTGTGTATGGGGCAGGAGGTAGGTAAAGCTCAGGGGTTAATGACATTGACCCTGAGTCAGGAATCCCTGAGATTTGTGCTTGTGCTGAGATTTGTGCTGAGACCTGCTGGCAAGGAGAGAGGGGCTGAGGTCAGAGGGAACAGAGGTCAGCCTCTGAGGCAATTGGGCCAATGTTGTGGCTTTGGGTGTGCTTAATAGAGATTAATAAGGGAATACTTTTATATAAGGTCCCTAGGGTTGGGTCACTTATCATTTCTTGTTGTACCTGGCCCCAAGGGGAGGGCTTGATGCTGGCCACGACCTTCCTGTTTTGGCCTGTCCTTGTGTGACATTTACTGAGGCAGTTGGACTAGTTTTCAAATATCCCTTTGGCTGTGTGCAGAGTAGCCTCCAGGACGGGATAGGCAACTGTGAGCTGGGGATTAGAGGCTGAGAGAGGGGGGGCCTGGGCATGGGATCTGCACTTAGGCCTTTCCTCCTTTTCAGGATGATGCCCCTGGGTGTGTCCTTTGGGCTGGTGTCCTGCCTGCTGGGGCTGGTGCTAAGTCTGTGCTTTGCTACTGAGTTCTTGGTGAGTGTAGCTGAGTCCTCGGCCTGGAGCTCAGTGCTGTGCCCCCCTCCTTTCCTCGGACCCCCAGTGAGCCTTGCTGGTGGTGTGAGCCTTCAGTGTCCTGGCGCGCTGCAGAGCTGTCCTCACTGCCCTGGAAGCCCCTCATCTCAGCTGTGTACCTGGTGACTCCATCTCATGTCTCCACAGAGGTGTTGCCCAGCCCAGGGGATGCTGCAGGCCGTCTCTGGATGGGTGGAGACACGAACTCTTCTGAGGCTGTTTCTGGCTGTGCTGACCATCGGTAGCCTGCTCACTGTCGCCATCATCAACCTGGTCAGTCATGAAAGGGACCCCAGGTGCCCATGGCACACATCCTGGGTGCAGGAGACCATCTTTGACCCTGGGAACCTGTAGTCTCAGTGCCCTCCCAGCTGCATCTGCTGTGACCCCTGCAAGCGCTGCAGTGTGAGCCTGAGAGGTCCCTGGTCCCACTCTGTCCTGGCTCACCCTCCCTGGGCCTCTGTTTCTTTGCTAGCAGGGGAGCTTGGCTTCCTGTTCTATGTTGTCTTGGCTCCTGCTGGATCTGGCTCCTTCTAGAGCCAGTTCCCCCTCGCAGGCTCTCTAGAACGGCTGTGTTTGATGCTTCAGAGCTGAGATGGCATCGGCTGCAGGCCTGCCAGGGTGCCCAGAGTCCCGGTCCCCTGATGCATGTTGACAGGGATCTGTCTCTTCTGCAGCCACTGATGCTCGACTCAGCCCTGGGGCTGCCTGGTGGCAATGAGACCAGCCTGCCGGCCTCAAGGAGCAAGGACAGGACCCTGTGTGTCCTCCTCCCAGTGAGTATCTGTTCTCCTCCCGTTAGATCCCTCTGGGCTCTGTCCTCACTGGGACACTCAGCTCAGCCACTGCAGCTTCTGGTGTGAAGAGCACTGTGTCCAGCCCAGTGTCTCCAAGGGAGGAAAAGCTGGGGCCAGGCAGCTAAGTGTACTTCCAGCTGTATTGGAGGACATCTTTGAGATGCTGCTGCCTCTTCATGAGGAAGTGGGTCTTAAGAGAGGTGGACCAGAGTCGTGTAGGTGGCAAAGCTAGTGCTGGGCTCAAAGACAATCAGGATGGCATGGGGGTATTAGGGGCCGCAGGGAGTTTGCACGTGTCTGTCAAGGGATGAGGTGGGATGGGGAGAGGACAGTGTGACCAAGCTGAGGGGTGGCTGCCTTGGTAGGGTTTAGGGGTTTGTGACTTGGGAATGGAGTGAGGGAGAATTAGGAAGTGGGGTCCGGGTCAGGGTGGAGCGGGACCGTCAGGCTGGGGGATTCCCTGCAGCATGATGTGGACGGGGAGGAATGTGGCAGGGCTGTGCTTGGGGAGGGCAGGCTCATGGCAGAATGCAGGAGGCAGGAGGCTGTTCAGGTGAGCCCATAGCAGCCTTGCCCTTGGCCCATGAAATCTACACAGCACCTACAGTTTCATGCGCTATGGCTTTGAATAAACGAGCTCACTGGCTCTGGGAAGTGGTCAGATGGCCAGAAGGGTGGCAACACACTTGAGCCCTGCTGCCCATAGGGAATTGGGGGAAGTTAGGGGGCTTGGGGGGGGGCTAGTCCTAACACCTCCTGGTGATGGACAGTGGGGTACCACCTCACCCCTAGTACTACAGCTGCAGCTGTATCCTGGGCTTCATCGCCTGCTCGGTCTTCCTGCGGATGAGCCTGGAGCTGAAGGTCCTGCTGCTGACGGTGGCCCTGGTGGCCTACCTGGTGCTCTTCAACCTCTCCCTGTGCTGGCAGGACCACTGTGCCCACAGCCCAGGCAACTTCACCCAGGCCAACACCACCATAAGGTAGGTCCTGCCACACCTCACTGCCAGGACCTGATCATTGCCATCTGCCTGTGGCTAGCTGTGGCTTTGCTCTATCCTTCTTGGGGAGGGTCATCTGTGTCTGGGGTCCCGTTGGACATGGCCAAGGGGCAGTGCTAAGGGCCGAGGCGTGTCTCACTGGTGGGCTCTCTGGGGAGTCTTGGTCACATGGGCCCAGGCTCAACCTGTTTCTGGGGAGCTGAATGGAGGAACCTGAGCCAGCCGAGCCCTCTGAGCTGGATTGCTCATCTGGCAAGCACAGCGCAATGGCCTGGTCCCTTCCTGAGACTCAGGGCGGGCTGGGGCATGGGGGCTTAAGAAGCTCTGGATCAGGGGGTGGGGGCTGTCTCTCTTGAACCATGGCTGACATCTTAGTAATCCATGGAGAAAAACCTGCTCTGCCTGTCAATTCTCTGGCTTCCTGCAAGGAGCCCTGGCTCTCCTTGGACACCCCTCCCCCCAGCCTCTTTGCCCCTTCCTGGGTGACTTAGATCTCCCCTCAGAGAGCCCCTCCCACAGTCCCCAGGGCCCCTCTTCCCTGTGCAGCTGCCCACACCACACATGCTGTCTGTACCCCAGTTCTTAGCGCACCACTGACTCCTGCCCTTCATCCAGCAGTGCACTGGACTATTCACCAAGGGACCTGAAGACCATGATCAACTTCTACCTGGTTCTGTTCTACAGCACTCTGGTCATGCTGTCCAGACAGGTATGCACAGCTCTTTAGCTTCCTGGGCCCCCAGTAGGATAGGCAGGGTGCAGAGGGCCTCACATGCCAAGAAATTAGGCTTGTTGTTAAGGCTGAGGGACTCCCAGTCATCCCCCCCCCTCCCCCAGGCAGCAGCCACAGGCTTGTCATGAGCACACTGTGGGCTAGCCTGGGCTCCCAGCCAGCCCCTCAGGTGGGGCCCGCTGCAGGACACTGACTTTCCCCAGTTTGCAGATCGACTATTACTGCCGCCTGGATTGTTTGTGGAAGAAGAAGTTCAAGAAGGAACATGAGGAGTTTGAGACCATGGAAAACGTGAACCGCCTTCTCCTGGAGAATGTCCTGCCAGCCCATGTGGCTGCCCACTTCATTGGAGACAAGCTAAATGAGGTACGCAGTTAGAATGAAGGGGTGTGGGGTCAGGACACCATGGAGGCAGTGTGTGGTGGTATGTAAACCTGGGCTTGTAGTTGGGAGTCTGGTTAGTGTGTGGCCTTGACTTCTCTGGGATTGTCATGAGGGCCAAGCCTGGAATTTTTTTTTTTTTTTTGGGTCCGGTCATGGGGCCTGAACTCTGGGCCTGGGCGCTGTCCCTCAGCTCTTCAGCTCAAGGCTAGCGCTCTACCACTTGAGCCACAGCGCCACTTCCGGCTTTTTTCTTTTTGCTTATGTGGTGCTGAGGAATCGAACCCAGGGCCTCATGCATGCAAGGCAAGCGCTCTACCACTGAGCCACCTTCCCAGCCCAAGCCTGGGAATTTCTTTGAGACATGACTATTTCCACCAGTGTTCTGCTCAGTGCAGAACCCAGTTTCTGTCTCCTGCTTCCTCTCGCCTGAGTTTCAGGCCCAGCTGGTGCTCACCTAGCCAGACTCAGCTCTCCTCTCCCCACCAGCCCATTCTGAAGTTGCCAGCCAGGGCTGAGGGCTCTGCCCACCCCTCTGGACTGCTCAGCGGCAGCTGTCACTTTGAGGCTCAGTGGTCTTACAGTGCCGTTTCTTCCCTGCCCTGCCACAGGACTGGTACCATCAGTCCTATGACTGTGTCTGTGTCATGTTTGCATCTGTGCCGGACTTCAAAGTGTTCTACACAGAGTGTGATGTCAACAAGGAGGGGCTGGAGTGTCTGCGCCTGCTCAACGAGATCATCGCTGACTTCGATGAGGTGCAGGCAGAGGGGGGGTGGCACAGGAGAGGGCCTAGGTCAACCCCCAGCACCACAGCACACTAGCTAGACAACATGCAGTGTCATGATAAAGGAATGCATTGTGTGCACTGACTGAGCTCACCTTTAATTCAGCTTCTGTGCTGGGCAGCTGCTAAGATTACAGTTAGGTCCTTGGAACAGCCTGACTGGGTGAGGCACTTGTTGCCAGCTACCTTAGAAAACAGGTTGGGCAGAACTCTGCCAACAACTGCCCCCTCCTGGGTAGATCATTTGCTATTTGGCCCTTTCAAGGAGTTCAGAGGAGAGGTGTGTGTGTGTGTGTGTGTGTGTGTGTGTGTGTGTGTGTGTGTGTGTGTGTGTGTGTGTGTGTGTGTGTGTGTGTGTGTGTGTGTGTGTGTGTGTGTGTGTGTGTGTGTGTGTGTGTGTTCTTGCAGCACCTGCGCAGGGCCGCACTGTCTGACTTGCCTGGCTTCCCACAGCTGCTGCTGAAGCCCAAGTTCAGTGGCGTGGAGAAGATCAAGACCATTGGCAGCACCTACATGGCAGCTGCAGGGCTCAGTGTTCCTTCGGGGCATGAGAACCAGGTACTCCCATTACTGAAGTACCCTACTCTGTCCTGTTTGTGGGGGTGGGGATAAAGCTGTTTATGCAGCCCTGCTTCGAGATTTTCGGTGGTGGTGAAGCTCTGTGGGGTTTGGATAGCCCTGTGGGATATGGGAAGATGGGGTGCCTGTGGTCAAGGGGCTGTGAGTGCAGTATGGTCATGCTGCAGGACTTGGAGCGGCAGCACACGCACATCGGCGTCATGGTAGACTTCAGCATCGCCCTGATGAGCAAGCTGGATGGGATCAACAGGCACTCCTTCAACTCCTTCCGCCTCCGTGTCGGTGAGGCTTGGTGGGCAGAGCGGGTAGGGGAGTGGAGCAGCCGCAGGTGTTCCTGGTCTGTCTGGGATCCACTTTTAGTTTTCTGCATGTGGTTGCCCAGTTTTCCCAGCACCAATAGTTAAAGAGGCTATGTGTTTTCCACTGTATGTCTTTGGGCTCCTTTGTTCAATATCAACTGACTGTATGCATGTGGTTTTATTTCTGGATCTTCTATTATATTGGTCTTTGGATCTACTTTTGTGCCAATACCAAGCTCGATAGTAGAGTCTGAAATCTGGTATTGTCATTATCTCCTGCATTGCTTCTTTTGCCTACAATTACTTTGGCTATTCTAGGTTTTTGTTTTCCATATGAAGTTTTGGGTTGTTTTCTATTTCAGGAAAGAATGTTGTTGGGATTCTGATGGGAATTGTGTTGAATTTGTGTATCATTTTTGGCAGTATGGTCATTTTCACAATATTTATTCTACCTATCACAAACAGGGAAGATCTTTCCATTTCCCGGTGTCCTCTTTGGTTTCTTTCTTTAGATTTTTAGTTTTCACAGAATAGTTCCTTTACATCTTTGATTAGGTTAATTCCTAGATATTTTATTCTTTTTAAGATTATCGTGTGTTAATTCTATATTCCGCTACTTTGCCAAAGTGACTTATTAGTTCTAGTTTGGGAGTGGAGTTTTTTTTTTTGGTGGGGGGGGGGGGGTGGGGGTAGTTTAGGTATAAGATCATGCCATCTGAAAATAGGAATAATTTCTTCTTCCCCTATGTAGATCCCCTTTTCTTGTCTTATTGCTACAGATTCCAAACTATACTGAAAAGGAATGGAGAGTGGGCATCCTTGCCTTGTTCCTGATTTTAAGGGAACTGGTTTTAGCTTTTCCCCATTTAGTATGATATTGGCTGTTGGTCTATTTAATATGGCTTTTGTTTTAAAGAATGTTCCTTCTGTTCCTATTTTCTCCAGAGCTTTGAGCATGAATGGATGTTTTGTCAAAAGCCTTTTCTGCATCAATTGAGATAACCATGTGGTTCTTGACCTTGGTTCTATTAATGTGGGGGATTACATTTATTGATTTAAATATGTTAAACAAGCTTTGCATCTGTGGGATGAAGCTTACTTGGTTAAAATGTGTGATTTGTTTCTGGATTCTGTTGGCTACTATTTTATTGAGAAGTTTAGTCTGTGTTCATCAGAGCTTGGTCTGTAGTTCTTTTTTCTGTTGGATCCTTGCCTGGTTTGGGGATGTGGGTTATTGGTTCATAGAATGAGTCTGGGATTGCTCCCTCTGCTATTTCACACAAGAGCTTGAGTATGAGTATTAGCTCCTCTTTAAAACGTCTTTATAGAATTCTGTGATCAATCTGTCTGGGCCTGGGCTTTTCCTTATTGGAAGACTTCTGATTGCTTCCTCTTATTGTACGTTATGGGCTTGTTTAATTTGTATTTTCTTGCTTCAGTTTTGGCAATTTGTATTTCTCTAGAAATTCATTCATTTCTGCTAGGTTTTCCTTCTTCAGTGAGTAAATATTCTGAAAATAGTTCATTATGACCATTTGGGTGTCTTGGATGTTTAATTTTTCCTGCGGCATCCCTGACCTTACTGATTTGGGTCTCCTCTCTTGCAAGAGGCTCCAGGTCTGTCTGGTACAGGTTACCTGCTTTGAAGTTGTCAGCAGCTTGGTTGAAATTGTGACTTGGCATTGTGGTTGCCTTTGATGATTTTAGTAAGAATACACAACTGTAGAAAATGCAGAACCTAAATCCTGGCTATCAACAGGAGACCTTTAAACAAACCTAACTAGCCAGCTAGCTCAGAGTGGGCACTTTGTTAGCAAATGGAGGGGGAATGGCACATGTCAGAAATATTCCTGACAAAACTAGCCTTCCTGCTTCATGGAGCCTGGACCAGAGCCAGGCAGGGCAGGCCTTTCTCCTACCACAAACCCTACTGCGTAGGCACCTCAGAAAGCTGTCACCCCTTTGTGGTTGGGGATGGACTGTGGACTCTCCCAGTTCAGATGTCTTGTTACCTTCAGGCATGAACCATGGGCCTGTGATTGCTGGAGTAATTGGAGCCCGAAAACCTCAGTATGACATCTGGGGAAATGCAGTCAACGTTGCCAGCCGCATGGAGAGCACTGGAGAACTGGGCAAAATCCAGGTAGCAACCCCTGGGGGGGAATGTGACCCAGGAGAAAAGACCCTCCTACTGTGGAGGGCTTGCCACGCCTCAGCATGGCTGTAACAGAGAATGAAAGTATGGATTAATATTTGACCAACCTGCCTATATTCAAGCAGGCTTCTTGCTTGATGTGGCTTTCTTTTGCTCAGGTTACTGAAGAGACATGTACCATCCTCCAGAGACTAGGCTACTCTTGTGAGTGCCGGGGGCTGATCAACGTTAAGGGCAAAGGCGAGCTACGAACTTACTTCGTTTGTACAGACACTGCCAAGTTTCAAGGCCTTGGGCTGAACTGAAGACTTCCAGTGGCCAATCTCCTTCACTGAGCAAACCAAGACCCAACTCTGTGGAAACAGCATTTGGCCCAAGGCCAGGTCCTGGCAGCAAGGCTGCTTAGATGACACTTTAACCTCTGCTGTCAAGCTATGCTTCCACGTCAGCTGGTGTACTGAATGTACTTGTGAGCATGCACAAAAGACCAATGCTTTATAGGTCAATGGAGGAGTAGGCTGGGCTGTGCAGTATGGGTCTGTTCTATCCAGCAGGACAAGCATTCTGGCAAGTGGAGTTTACAGCTGTGTATCATTTCTTTAACCACTCACCACATGTAAATAGGACTACTGTCCAGTGACCTGGGTATTTATGGGATTAACCTAGCTGGGGTATAAATCCTACGGAATGTGGCTTACAGCAAGAAGGAGTGTCAAGCCTGGACTTAGAATCAGGCAACTTTGATACAAGTCTTCTGGGACTACGTTCAATAAGCTGAAAAGGCTTGAAATAAGGTGTAATCTTTCTACTTTTTCCTGACTGCCATCTTTGAGTTCTCTCTTAGTCTTCAACTATCAACTACGTCTTTTTTCTTTTTCTTTTTTTGCCAGTTCTGAGACTCAGAACCTTATGCTCCCACATGAGGCCACACCCACTTTTGGCTTTTTGCTGGTTAATAGGAAATCAGAATCTTGGGATTCTTCTGTGAGCTGACTTTGAACCTGGATCTTCATATCTCAGCCTTCTGAGTAACTAAGATTGTAGGTGTGAGCCACAAGCACCAGGCTATATGCTGCTTATTTATTCACATTCTTTAGCCAATGCCTGACCATTTTTCTTTTTTTGGAGACAAGTTTTATTGTGTAATCCCAGCTGGTTTGGAACTGACAATCTTCTTCTATCCACCTTGAGTGCTGGGATTATAGGTATGTACCACCATGCCTGTCTTTTTTGTGTTGATAGTGGGAGAATAGTATCTGTATATAGGACTTGGACAGCCTGTGCTATTTCTTGACATGAGTCTTCACAACTAAATCTGGAAAGCTTCAAAATCAGGAGGAGCAGCTAGGGGAATGGTTCAAGTGTGAGACCTTGAACTCAAACCTCAGCCCTGCTAGGCCAGCCTCTCACAAATGCTGAACCCTTTCTTTCAATGAGTCAAGGAAAAAAACGAGCTTTGGAAGATCGCATCTTATACTCTGCTTCAGTTCCACAAGAAGCTGAAAAAAGGCGAACTGTTTCAAGGTGAGAAATGACTGAACTGCTCGTTCCTTTATATGGAGTGGTCTTCACTTCATGATTAGTGCATTCCCAGGATCTCTAAACCCACTGAGCTTCACAATACTACAGGATTTTTAGAAGCCACTTACAAACCTGGAGTTACCTAGAAAATCCTCCTCATAGGACTAGAGCTAGGACACCTGACCTGCCAGGTTTGCAATGAGTTGTGACCCTCAATGGGGCAAAGGGGAGTGACAGGACCTGTTTTGGGGCCAGGGACTGCTCTGCTGCACTTGCATGTACCTGTAACCAGTCCTCACAGCACAAGAACCTACTGTGTAAAGGACTCTTATGGTTAAAATGCTGGGGTAAGGAGCAGAGTCTTGTTTAAGTTGATTTGTTTATATATCCTCTTGTCACAAGAGGATTGGTTTCAGGTGAGCCCTGCGCTGAACTCTGTGTTCTTCAACTCTAGCAGTGATCAGTGTCCCTGGCAAGGTGGAAGGTTCCAGCTGCCAGGAGAGTGGAGGCAAGGCCCAGCCTGAGTCAACACCTGCGTACCCTCCCAACATGCAAGTCAGATTTTATTTCAGCAACAGGAAGCCCAGCTGGGAGTTACCGTTCTTGTATTGTTAGGTGCAATTAAAGTACTGTGCTAAGATTATTTTATAAGTTTTTGATGTTCAGGTCATAGACTCACTTGCAGTTGATCTTTTATAAATTACCAAGTAATTTTTTTTTTTTGCTAGTCGTGGGGCCTGAACTCTGGGTCTGGGCGCTGTCCCTCAGCTCTTCAGTTCAAGGCTAGCACTCTACCACTTGAGCCACAGCATCACTTCTGGTTTTTTCTGATTATGTGGTGCTGAGGAACTGAACCCAGGTCCTCATGCATGCAAGGCAAGCACTCTACCACTGAGCCACCTTCCCAGCCCCAAGTAATTTCTTGATGTGTCATTTGTTTTCATGACAGCAACAAGTATATTTCTAATAACACCCTTCTCTATGGATCAGACTTGCTTAAAATTCCTATTAAGGCAGCTTACTAACTATGGGACATTAATACAGAAGTCTTCTGATTGCTTCCTAAGGAAATTTCCAACAGGAAGATGAGCATTACTCATGCTATATTTCATGTATGTAACAGGTCACTGTATAGGAATATGCTTTGAGTTGGTGCATCAAACAATTAATCTGTATTTATAGATATATACCATCTGTTTTAAATGTTTCATTTTATAAAGTACCAGTGCTTATTTAGCTGCTTTTTATGCATTAAATTAGCAATGCAGAAACCTGAATGTCCTAAGGTCTTCTGAATATAAACATCTTCTTGGTCTTAAGGAACTTACCAAATTATATTTCAGAGACTAAAAGTAAGACTCTAGATATAGCCTGCATAAAAACATCTCAACTAAGTTTTAAAAAAGAGAATCCCCTTTGTAAGTTTTAAGATTCATTCGAGTTTTCTCAAGTCAAGAAAAACACATAATAGATTCCAGTTTGGGTTTTACACAGATGGGCCATATGAATATTAAACATTATTTGTTCAATGAATTAGGTTATGTATCCATCCCCATTTTTTAGGTATTGTTATTTTTTATTACTGCTTTTGGTGGTACTAGTTTGGATTCTGGAATTTGTGCTTGCTAGGCAGGTATTTTACCACTTGAGCCACGCATGCCTTCAGCCATTTCTGCTTTAGTTGTTTTCAGGTAGGGCCTCACATTCCTGTCTAGGGGCAGCCTTTCTACCCAGTTTCCAATCTAGGTGAGATGACAGGTACCTGGCATGAGATGAGGGGGAGGGGTATACTGCTAATTTTTGTTTGGGCTGGCTTGAACTTTGGATCCTCCTGAGATTTACAGTCTTACATCAGTATACCTCCACTCTGGCTTTTTAACAGGCTATCTTTTGAACTAAAAGCAGAAAATCACCATCTTAGCTGAGTGACTGCTAAACAAACAGCCATTTTCAGATAAAAAATACTCAGATGCATGCCCTGAGGTGATCTTAGAAAAAAAGTAAACAGAAAAAAACTGTCTTCTGAGTTGGTCTTCTGGAGGATGGTTTTAGCTTATTTGGCTCATCTTTTTGCTAGTGTTCCAAATAACTGCAAAAATGAAAAAACAAAAATACCAGACATGTTATAGTGCTAAGAACCTCCTAGCCTCTCCTTTTCTGGTAGGTGGGATGGGGGAAGGCTCCTAATTACTAACCACATCATTTCTATATGGTGCCTTCTCCCATCATTCTAAGTGTGTTTGTTTTTGTGGTATGCAAATGAAAGATCTCACTAGATGGGCTGATTTTTTATTTTTATTTTCTAGGGCCTTACACTTGCTAGGCAGTTGCTCAACCACTTGAGCCATGCTCCAGCTCTCAGATGAGGCTGCCTTGTATGTAAAATACAAGTAGCATTAAGACCCACCCAGGTGGGGCTGGGAAGGTGGCTCAGTGGTAGAGCGCTTGCCTTGCATGCATGAGGCCCTGGATTTGATTCCTTAGCACCACATAAGCAAAAAGAAAAAAGCTGGAAGTGGTGCTGTGGCTCAAGTGGTAGAGTGCTAGCCTTGAGCTGAAAAGCTGAGGGACAGTGCGCAGGTCCAGAGTTTAGGCCCCACGACCGGACCAAAAAAAAAAAAAAAAAAGACCCACCCAGGTATGACAATAGCCAAAGCTATATGCCTTGCTCACAAAGGGCTGATTTCTGAATTATGATGAGATCTGGTAAGTTGCAGAACCACCTGGGTATAATTTCTTTAATGGGGAGGGTAAAAAATAAGGGATTCCAATTTATCTTGAGAACTTGGTCCATTAAGATGTAATCATATTCTGAGTCAGGGAAGGTCAGGGGGAACTTGATGGATATGCACAGTACTCTTCGGAGTTCCAGGTTCAGCTTTATTACCTAATACAAGTCCAATCTCTGGAACATATAAAATTAACTGTTCCAAAGTTTAATTAAAAACACAATTTATGAATAGTTAATATCTTCTGAAAGGCATTTCCAATTTTGGAATGAAGAAAATATGTACATAATATATAATCAAATACCAGCAAGCTTGAGCTCCCATCAGGTCCTCACTCAGCAACATCAGCCTTCTTAGGGTCTTCAAGCTCTGAAGGAAGAAGACAGTACTGAACACTCTGCCATGTCATTAGAGTGAGAGTGGAGGTGAGCCACCTCTAGCTGATAGCCCTTGCACCACACTCAAGGCTAAGAAGCAGTGATTAGGTCACTACCGCAACTTTGCTGAAAATGTGAGAAATACACTAGTTCTACATACAAGAGCCTCCCATTGTCCCAGAGAAACCGAGCACGCACCTTCTGTCAAGTCTATGAGGTTGTGTGGCACGACAGGGGAAGGAATGGAAATCCCCATGGCTTTTCGAACTCCATACATGCTCACGATATCGCCTGGAGTCACTTGCTGTGCAAGTTCTTTAAGGTTATTAGTCACTTGTTCAGCTAGAAAGAAAAAGAAAAACAGTTCCAGGTATCAAAAAGTGACTCCTTAAAAAAAATCCAAGACAGCAGTGAATGTACAAATGCAGAGAACAAGCATTCTGTGCCACCACTTTACAGTGCTGTCACTACTCAGCAATTTCCCTTTATGCACACCCCTCCTCCCTGACACTTGCTGGAGGCATACTATACCAAGGTGCATCTCTCTGTACGAGGGACCCAAGAGGCAGATCATGTTGGGAGGGGGCCTGGTGCTCAGCCGCTCATTCTGCGCATCCTGGAGCTCCCTGAGCAACCTGGTGGTCTCGTCAAGTTTCCTCTGGAACACTTCAGCCTCTGTGGTAAGAAGACACCAAAGAAGACATGGGCATGCCTGTTTCATCCTGTGTGGAAGTGTGAATCATACTATTCAGGCCCTGTTTCTTACTGGCTAGCCTCCTCCCCTCAAATGAAACCACGAGCACAGCCATGCTTTACTATTCACTTAATGTGGTTGGCCCTGGTTTTCCTGTGGTGGATGGTTGCCACTGAGGCAGCAGTAATGCTTCAATGCCTATGCTATGCAGTTCCCAGCACACTGTGTCCTGAGAGCCTCACCTTCAGAGTCAAATACTTCAATGGGAGCACCAAAGTTTGTTACTGCTTTCAGTGCTGTGAGTCTGTCTTGGGTGCTAGAGTCCAAACGCCCTGCTGGTTCTACTTCTGTAATCTGCCTCAAAAGGAAAAAAAAAAAGGCAATTACTTGGGCTTGCTAAGTCATGACAATGTTCAGTAAAAATTAGTAAGATGGCTATGTTTCTAGGCAAAGCTATTCCACCTATTACAATTATATGACTATCAAAAAATGCCTTCCAAGAACCCTCCACTCCCATTTTTTTTGGGGATCAGTTGTGAGGCTGAACTCGGCCTGAACACTGTCCTTCAGCTCTTCGGCTCAAGGCTAGCACTCTACCACTTGAGCCACAGTGTCACTTCTGGCATTTTCTGCTTATGTGGTGCTGAGGAACCGAACCCAAGGCCTCATACATGCAAGGCAAGCACTCTGCCACTGAACCACCTTCCCAACCACCCAAAACATCCTTTTAAAATGTTATTCTTAAAATTTTGGCAAGAAAACACTTCTCCATAATATTATTACATCTTATACAATCTGCATTATACACTTCTTTTAAGAAGTCACTGCCTCAATACTGACAACAATGCCTCATGTTTTGGAGACTCGGGTACGTGTTTCAGTCCAGCCAGTCCATAAATGTGCATTCTTATAGACCTATTGTGTAAGAATCTTCCTGGGTCAACTCCAGGCACCCAAACCAGGCTGCTAGTGCTGCACGGGAGAAAGAAAACCTTAGGAAGGGAGAGTTTTATTTCTGGAATTGTAAGACTCAATGTTTCCATAACCTCAACAATTCTTCATAAGAATGCCATCAACTTAGATAAGTAGCCAAAGTCATTGTTCCATTTCTACTGGAGTACTGCACTCAAAGCTCAACCAGTCTGGACACCAGACTCCTTTCCTTTACATACAAATAGTATGAAAGTGCGCAGTGCAAAACTTCAGCTGTACAAACTGACACTAGTATGTATTTATAGCTGACCATTTTAGCAGGATCCTCATAATTCTACTCAATAGTCCTTTATTTCTTTTGGCCCATTCTGGGGCTTGAACTCTGGGCCTGGGTGCTGTCCCTGAGCTCCTTTTTTGCTCAAGGATAGTGCTTCTACCACTTGAACCATAGCACCACTGCCAACTTTTTCTGTGATTAATTGGAGGGAGTTTCATGGACTTTTTTGCCAAGGCTGGCTTTGAACTGTGATCCTGAGATCTCAGTCTGAGTAGTGAGAATTAAGGCATGAGCACAGCTTAGTCTTTATTTTCTTTCTTTCTTTCCTTTTTTTTTTTTTGTCATAGGGTTTTAACTCTGGGCCTGGGCACTATCCCTCAGCTCTTCAGTGCAAGGCTAGCACTTGAGCCACAGTGCCACTTCTGGCTTTTTCTGCAAATGTGGTGCCGAGGAATCAAACCCAGGGGCTCATACATGCAAGGCAAGCACTCTACCACTGAGCCTCCTTCCCAGCCCTAGTTTTTTTTTTAAGTTGTGAAAATACCATACAGAGGGGTTACAATTACATGGGCAAGGTAATAAGTACATTTCTTATCAAGCATTGTTGCCTCCTCCTTTGTTTCCCCAGCG